TGCATACATGGATTTAAAATTTAGAGTCGATAGATTTTATAATGATTATTGTTTTATTATATGTGTACTTTCTTTTAATTATATGTGTGTATGCATATGTAATTTGAATCGAAAATTTAATGAATTCAGTTAAACTCAGAGAACTCGTCGTCTAGATCAGATGAGTTAAGATGGGTTGATGAGTAATTTTTGTGTTGACTTCTAAAAAAGAATGCAATTCACCTATTTTTCCAATCAGAAATTTGCACATGGATGTTATTATGCATTTTACACCTAATTAATAATTTAATCTAATAATTATTTATCTAATTACAGGAATTCTCAAGGAATCCATTGATGAAACTTCTGACTTTGATTTACCAGCCCAGGTTCCCTCCCTCTCTATCTTGCAAAACAAATTATTTAAATTTTAGTGAGCGTTTGAAGATAAAAATTGTGAAATTAAAAAAAAAAGTATATATACTTATTATTAAGTTGAAAATGATATCTGAAAATTGCAAGTTGTGTTTGAATGTGAATACAGATTAGAGTTGTTGAAGTTTTGCAAGTGTTCTAGAGTGAAAAATTGTGAAAACGGCTTTTTTGAGATTTTTTTATTCTAAAATTCAACTTCAAGTTGAATTTCAAAAAATTATACTCTTTCTGACGAATAAATTTTCGACAAAATTTACATTTTTGTAGTAGTCTAGTAGAATATATGTTTTCTTGTTGGGTGAAAGTGAGATTTCAATTCCAATACTTCTTACCGATTATGATATTATATATTGAAGTATGTGATCATTATATTTTTACCTAAAAATGATTATAGGAAATATAATTTCTAATTACTTAATTATATTATATCTCGACAAAATTTATTTATAATTTTCAATTTTCTTCCTTCTTGTATATAACATAGGATGCATCAGACATAACAGATGAAGAGTTATCTATAGCAAGGAGAATAGATCTGGTGTTAGACTATGCTAATGCTGGAGCAAATGATCAACATAAACCAAAGCCTTGAATAATATTTACAGGTCGTTTGGTAAGCGGGATAAGATAAAATATCTTGAGATAAATTAATCGTTAGCTAATTGAATATATTATAACATAATCTCAAATTTATTTTCGGATATTTCACCTTATCCCATCAAATCTGTGATTATTTCATCCCAACTCCTAAAATAATTTAGTCTGCATATCAGATGATTCGAGTAATTACTCGTTGTCTCTTGTTTTCTCATTGTTTATCTCTTTTTCATGCATGTAATAAAAATTCGATTATGGAGGTTTTTCTTGTTGGTTCAATTCCATTTGATTTGTAAATTTTGTACCATGTTATTATTTTATGAATGTAATTTTGTAAGGGTGAAAAATTAAAGATCTATAATGACAAATTGTGTAATTAAATGTGAGATTTTACCTTGAAATTTTGAATTATACTATAGTATTTCCAAATAATTTAACGATGGTTAGTATTGACAAACGACAGGTGAAAACTATAACTATATACTTATCAAGCTGAAAATTAAAAAAAAAAGTATTATATACATAATATATAACGTATTACAAAAATGTCTAAAATTTACTTACACAAGCAAATACTAAACTTACACATGATAAAGTTGGTTCGAAATGACTAAATTTATAATTTTTTATACACATGGAAGGTGTGCAAGGTAAAGTTAGAAGTTTGACGAATGAATTTGATCAAATTCAGTATATATAATTTAAAATTTGTATTGATATTTAAAAAAAATTACTACATGTCTTTTTTTCTTCTTTTTCAGTTTTACAACATTACAAATATTAAATATATTCTTATACTATCGAAAATCATTTGATTATACTTTAATTTTGATTTTGATTCAGTTATATCTCTTCTGTTATACTTTCAGTCCATATATACTTTTCTCATTATCCTTTTGATATAAATTAATTATTCTTAATTTTGAAGATGAAATGCGTATCAAACACATAATTAAATTATTTACATTTACAAACACATTATTATATATTATAAATTATAAAACGAATATGCAGCTGAACTTGGAAGTTTCAAAGAAAGGAGCACTGATTTAGTGGGTCGGGTTCTAGTTATATTAATAGGGGCAAACTACATAAATTCCACTAGTTTAGGTCCTAATTACTAATATTCCCGATAGTTTCAAATATTACTTTATCTACCATATTTCATGTTTAGGATACATGAGTTTGAATCTGCGAGATACATATATCTACCGAATAGACAATTAATTTTGAAAATTTAAATTAATCAAATCCCTTAATATAAGGCGGAAATCAAGGATGTATCTATATTTAATTAATTTCATTTTATTATTAGTTGAAATAATAAATTCATTAATATTATTAAGAAAAGACAAAAATATGTATATCTTGATCATGTGATTTTGATTAATTTCATTTTATTACTCTTAAAATAATAAATTCATTAATTTAATGTATCTATTATAAATATATGACGTATACAACAAACCAAATACTTAAATACATAAGTATCATACAAGTACATTCATATGTATCATAGAAGTATCTAGTATTAATTTCATGTATTTGTTATATATGTCTAGTATTAATTTCATGTATCTATTTATATGATCTAATTTTAATTTCATGTATCTTTTATATGTATCTAGTATTAATTTGATGTATCAAGTGTCAATTTCATACATTATATTCAAAACATGTATCTTGGATACATAGTATGCATATACATATAATTATGTGTTCTAAATATGAAATGTAACTGAAACACACGAATTTAGGAACAAATCACGACGGTAGATCATTATCTGTCATATCATTAAATCAAGAACAAAAGTAAAAAAATTCAAAATTCTTCATTCTTTTTTCTCATAGATACATATAATCTTAACTCAGATACACGAACTCTTAATTAGAGACATGTACACCTAATGTGTATCCAACATTGTTGCACTTGATATGTACTTAATGGTGTATTTGTTCTTCTTAATTACATTCATAGCTGGTCAGGACATCTCACCGCGGCGGTGTTTGCTCTCACCTTTTGATTTGTCGATGTTGCTCGCTTTGCCTAGATCTGACGGACCTCCGGCAGAGCCATTGCAAATTTCACTTTTTCGTCCCTCCGACTAATAAAATTTTGAAGAAGAAGGCCCTCAAATCGTCAGAGATGAAATTTGAGTCAACTAAAGAGTGAAATTGTTAGAAAAAAAATTGTGACTAATTTGGCAGCAAAAAGGCACAAACAAACTACTTGCAGTTAATTGCATTGAATCAGGTTGTTTGCGGCAGTTGATACTCGTTAATAAGTGGGAGGTGGGTGGGGGGGAGATTAGGGTTGGAGATTGGAGGAGGTGTTGAAAGAGAAATATATTTAATTGTTATTAAAATGTTAATTGTGAAGTTTAAATGTAAGGATAAGTAATCAATCCTAATTTTAAGGGATGTGAGTATCAAATTGTATCTTCAATAATATATGGTATAAAATATTAAAAATGGTACTATATGTAATTGTTTGAAAGTAGAGATAATATTAGTATATATGATAGTAATGTATGTCTAATATAGTAGTTTATCCTATTAATAGGTTAGTCAGAAAATCGGATATTTGAAATTGATAGTGAATTGAGAGAAGGCCCAAAATAGTCTTTCATCTTTGGGTTAAAACTCAAAGTCATCCTTGAGTTTTCACATGGAGCACTAATAGTCCCTCATGTTTGCAATATTGGTGTACTTTTGGTCCTCCTCTAAACTTTTGCCTATTTTTTAACATTAATTTTCTTCATAATTTTATGTAAGGAATGTCCCATCGTCCTTTTTATATATTTAGTAGAAATTATAACTCTATGTGAGAGAAGGTGAGAAGAAGAACACCTTGTTCTGTTCAGTATAAATATTGCTGCAGCTAAACTAAGAACATTTTAACATATGACATTGCAAGAAAAGAAAAATTTGTACTATTGTACGTGAAATTGTCGTGATGAACCTCTCGACTTTACCTGCAATACGATTTCTAACTAAACAAAATAAGGTGTTTTTCTTCTCACAATCTCTTACATGGAGTTATTATTTCTACCAAATATATAAAATGACGACTAAACATTCCATACATAAATTATGAATAAAATCAATGTTAAAAAATAGGCAAAATTTTGAAGGAGGACCAAAAGTGCACCAATATTGCAAACATGAGGGACTATTAATGATCCATGTGAAAACTCAAGGATGACTTTAAGTCTTAACCCAAAGATGAAGGACTATTTTGGGCTAAGACTCTAGTGAATCATTTGGTTTCAAGATTGAAATACGTTCCTTCATAAAAATAAGCGTAAATTTGTATTAAAATATAATATGAGGAGTATATTTGAATCGGAAATATAATAGGTGAAATATATTTGGACCGTAACTCAAACGAGGGGTATATTTAAAGTTCTAAACTATTTTTGTTAGTACAAGGGAATACTTGACCTTTTTCCATTTTTCATATGTAGAATTTAAAATAAATATAATCAAAATATTGCATTTCAACAACTTAATTCCTTCTTTGTTTTTTTTCCACCACTCTTCTACTTCATTTTTATTATATGATATTTGGTATTGTATTAATTTTTTTTCAATAGTTGATGGTGATACGTTTTGGTTGAGCGAGAATCTATCATAAATAAACTATCTCTAGCTTCACAAAATAGGAGTTAGACGGTATATATTTATCCTTTTTTCAAATATCACTTATGAAATTATACTGAATATGTTATCATTTTTTCAAAAAAATAAAAAAATTAAGAAACATGTTAATTAGTGGTGGCAGTTTGATAAAGTAGCTGTCTAAATATTCGAAAATGTCATGAGACAAAATTAATTTAGGCAAGTGGGATAAAAAGTCTACTCAAATTCTATTTATTTATTTTGTATTAAATTATTTTTATAACTTTTATATATTTAAATCACCCCAACTCAAGTCTTCTAAAAACTTTTGTTTTGCTAAAATTAATTGATCATTGAAAAAAAATGGTACAAAAAGTTAGGTTTGTACCTTCTTCTATTGTTCATCTTTGCTACTATCATTTCAACTGCCTCATCATCAAGTAAGTTTTCATTAAGTTAATTCATATGTATAGCAACTATACAAATATTTGTCAAAAGCATTTTTAAAAAATTTATAATTGTAGTATTTAAGTGACTCAGTTTGCATATATTTGATTAATTTTACGAGGTATCATCGACATAAATATTGAATAACTCTATCACAAATCAAAGCTCGAACAACATTTTCAATCATGACATATTTCGGATGCTTGAAGGCTCCGTTGACACGATGTGATGATTTAGAAAGATTCTTTTTTAGTAATCATAATCGATCATGATATTCATAGCCTTGTTTCTTTTTTGTCAAATTTGATTTTGTTTGCTTCTCCCTATTGTCGAGGCTGATCAACTCGACTCTTTTCCCTATCCTCTGACCTCTTGCTTTATTTCGTTCTTTCTTTGTACCGTTGCTTGAATGAAGATCATGAATCATCTAGATTCATGAGTTTCAAAGAAAGAAAAAACATCAAGTAGTTAGTCTAATATATATATAGTCCAACTTAAGAAAGCGATGACATGATGTAATTATGACAAGTCACATAAATAGATTTTGGGATAATTTACTTTTACCAATAAGACTATAGGCTAAAGAGAATAGGTTGAATTTGATATTTTTGGCCTTTCTTGAAATTTAAATCTGAAATGTCATGATTTCAAATTGACGAAAACATATTAATTCTTGCATAAAGAATATATATTGTCATATAAGTATATGTATGTGTATGTGTCTTGATTTGTTTTTTCTTTGTATATCTATATGTAATATTGAGCCGAAAAATTAATAAATTCAGTTAAATTCACATAACTCGCTTTAGATGGTGATTTCTATTTTGATTTTATATATACACATACAGGAATTCTCAAGGAATCCATTGATGAAACTAGCTATGCTTCACCGGCCCAACAGGTTTCCAATCCATACCATGTGTTTATCTATATTATACCGAAATATATTTAAATAATATTTTTAACTTACGTACTGAACACACTCATTTTTTTTCTTTTTATGTATATATAGGATGGGAGTGGCAGGGAAGTGGATGATGAGTTCTCTATAGCAAGGAGAATGGATTTGGCGTTAGACGACTATAAATCTCCAAGAATAAAGCATTGAATGATACTATTAATTATAGTATTATTTGTTTTCTCTTGTTTTTTTTACGTTGTTTAATTAGCTCTTTTTTTTATATATGTAATCAAAAAAATTCAATCATGAATTTTATTTTATTTTTCAATTTCCTTTAATTTGTATCATGTTATAATTCCATTATATTTTTTGGATCAAATATATCCTTTCTATTATATTTTAAGCCTAAGTTGTTCTTAATTTTGACGGAGACACACGTGACAAATGATCTACTCTCAATTATAAATACAAAAATGACACGTTTTAGAGTGTTTGATTTATGGTTAAAACTCAAAGATCTAATATAAATTGCTGTAATTTGTAGTTTTATTATTGTCCTAACACCTGGATATATAGTAAAATTATATTTTGAGCAGCAATCACCAAAATAAATATAAACAAAATATATATTACTTTTAACAACTTAATTCTTTCTTTGTTCTTCTAGGCCACATTTTCCTATTTTATTTTTAACATAACTTTTTGATATAAATTAATTACTCTTAATTTTGAAGATGAAATACGTATCAAACTCATAATTAAATTATTTACATTTACAAACACATTATTATATATTATAAAACGATATGCAGCTGAACTTGGAAGTTTCAAAGAAAGGAGTACTAATTTAGTGGGTCGGGTTCTAGGACAGTGAATCATTTGATTTCAAGATTGATATACGTTTCTTCGTAAAAATAAAAGTAAACTTGTATTAAAGTATAATATGAGGAGTATATTTGAATCGAAAATATAATAGGTGAGATATATTTCGACCGTAACTCAAACGAGAGTTATATTTGAAGTTCTAAACTATTTTTGTTAATACAAGGGAATACCTAACCTTTTTCCATTTTTTCATATGTAGAATTAAAATAAATATAATCAAAATATTGCATTTCAACAACTTAATTCCTTCTTTGTTTTTCTTTTGCCACCACTTAATTCCTTCTTTGTATTTCTTTTGCCACCACTCTGATCTACTTCATTTTTATTATATGATATATTTGGTATTGTATTAATTTTTTTCAATATTTGATGGTGATACGTTTTAGTTGAGAGAAAATTTATCATAAATAAAATCTCTAACTTCACAAAATTGGATTAGATTATATATATATTATTCATTTCAAATATCACTTATGAAATTATACTGAATATGTTATTGTTTTTTTTTTAAATAAAAAATATATGAATAAGTTAAGAAACATGTTAATTAGTGATGCCAGATTGCCAGTTTGATAAAATAGCTGTCTAAATATTCGAAAATGTCATAACTATGAGACAAAATTAATTTAGGCAAGTGGGTAAAAAAAGTCTACTCAAATTTTAACTATTTTTTTTTGTATTAAATTATTTTTATAACTTCTATATAATTAAATCACCCCAACTCAAGTCTTCTAAAAACTAATTTTGTTTTGCTAAAATTAATTGATCATTGGAAAAAAAAATGGTGCAAAAAGTTGGTTTGTACCTTGTTCTATTGTTCATCTTTGCTACTGTCATTTCAACTGCCTCATCATCAAGTAAGTTTTCATTAAGTTAATTTATATATATATATATCAACTATAAAAATATTTGTCAAAAGCATGTAAATTTTTTTTATAATTGTAGTGTATGTATGTGACTCAGTTTGCATGTATTTGGCTAATTTTACGAGATACTTGAATAGCTCTATCACAAATCAAAGCTCGAACAACATTTTCAATCACGATATATTTCGAATGCTTGAAGGCTCCGTTAACACGGAGTGATGATTTAGAAAGATTTTTTTATTAATCGTGATTGATCATGATATCTATAGCTTTGTTTCTTTTTAATCAAATCTTGATTTCGTTTTGCTTCTTCCGACCGTCGAACCTGATCAACTTGACTCTTTTCGCTGTCCTCCGGCCTCTTACTTTATTTCAATCTTCTGTTGTATCGTTGCTTGAATAAAGATCACGAATCATCTAGATTCATGAGTTTCAACGAAAGATAAAGCGTCAAATAATTAGTCTAATGTATATATATAATTAGTCCAACTTATGAAAGCGATGACATGATACCATAACAAGTCACGTAAAAAATTTTTGGGATAATTTACTTTTACCAATAAGACTACAGGCTAAAGAGAATAGGTTGAATTTTCTATTCTTGGCCTTCGTTGGAATTTAAACCTGAAATGTCATGGTTTCAAATTGACGAAAACATATTAATTCTCGCATAAAGAGTATATATTGTCATATAAGTATATGTATATGTATGTGTCTTGATTTATTTATTTTTTGTATATCTATATGTAATGTTGAGCTGAAAATTTAATGAATTTAGTTAAATTCACAAAACTCGTTCTAAATCAGTGTTTTTTATTTTGATTTTATATATGCATTGACAGGAATTCTCAAGGAATCCATTGATGAAACCTCTGTCTATGATTTACCGGCCCAGCAGGTTCCCATTCTCTCTTGTAAAACAATCATTAATAGAGTTAATGATGAGATTAGGAGCCAAGTCAGGCATTGTATTTATTTTAAAATGCAATTAATTAATAATGTTACATCTTAATACACATAACACATGTATTTTTTCATGTTCGATAAGTCAAAAACTTTTAAAATATTTTTTTTAGAAAAATAAATTTATTAAAAGAATAAAAAAAATGACTTTCCTAGCTAAAGTAGGGAAAATAAGTTTCAGAAATAATATTTCATATTGTTGTTGATTGTGTCTTCCTCATGTACCCTCTAATAACACATTCATCTTCACTCTAAGCCCAGTAGCGCTCAAAATCATATTTATACCTCTACATCTCACAGTATTTATTTAAATTATATAAAAATATATTTAAAATAATATTTTTTATTTAAGAATAATATCGTAAGTACACCTTTTTTTTTTTTTTTTTTTTTCATATATAGGATGAGAGCTATATAGAAGTGGATGATCATGCAGAGTTCTCTATAGCAAGGAGAATGGATTTGGTGTCATTAGACTATTTTCAGGTGCGGAGACGAGTACCATCGCACCCATAACCTTGAACAATACTATTTTCTCTGTTTATTTTTATTTGTCTGATATATTATTTCGGAATGTCGAATAATACTTGTCTAGTTTATAAAATCAACGAATAATTTGTCATTTTATGTCTATTTTATTCATGCTGTTATATACTATTCATTTTTCAATGTTTAAATGACTTATATTTAATAAGAGTGATTTGGTAAAATTACTCCTATCATTTACTATTTCTTAATCTGTGTCAAGTCAATAATGGACACCAATTATTAGATAGAGAGTAATATTACTTTCTTATGTTTTTTTTCATTGTTTAATTGGCTCCTTTTCTTGCATGTAATTAAAAAAATTCAATTATGGAGTTCATTTTTTTGTTCAATTTCCTTTAATTTGTATCATGTTACAATTTTCTTATTGTGGTTATATATATTAGCAAGTGACATATTATAAGAATTAAGTACGGTATTTGTAGATGGTAATCGTTATGTCATGATTATTTTTAAAAAAAAGGAATTAGCGAAAGATCAAATAACAAAAAATTCATACTAATCTTATTTAATTACATATTAGCAACAAATTGTGAAAGTAATAATTAGCCAAGAGCTTTTTAACGTCATATTAGATGAGACTACTGAACAATTATGTAACTAATTTTATGTTTTTTAGGAATAACTGTTTGATGGTAATTGTTGATGATGAATGCGACAATAATGTATATTAAAAGGTCACATTCAATCACAAAAATCTTAAGTATATTATTTTAAGGCTCTTTACAAAATCAGAAATAATCACTTTTAATTCGAGCAAATAAGTGACTGCGAACCAAAAAAAAACTTATATATACATTATTCTTTTTTAAATATCACTTACAAAATTATATTAAATATATTATTATTATTATTATTGTTATTATTATTATTCTAGCCGATTGCCACTATGAATAATTAATTAACATGTTTGTGGTGCCAATTTGTTAGCTGTCTAGATATTCGAAAAAATGTCATAACTATATGAGACAAAAAATTAATTTAGGCATGTGGGTAAAAAAGTCTACTCAAATTTTAAATTTATATTTTGTATTAAATTATTTTTATGACTTCTATATAGTAAAATTAAGTCACGCTAACTCGAGTCTTCTGAAAACTTTTGCTTTGCTAAAATTAATTGATCATTGAAAAAAAATGGTACAAAAAGTTGGTTTGTACCTTCTTCTATTGTTCATCTTTGCTACTATCATTTCAACTGCCTCATCATCAAGTAAGTTTTCATTAAGTTAATTCATATATATAGCAACTATACAAATATTTGTCAAAAGCATTTTTTAAAATTTTATAATTGTAGTATATATGTGACTCAGTTTGCATATATTTGACTAATTTTACGACGTATCATTGATATAAATATTGAATAACTCTATCACAAATCAAAGCTCGAACAACATTTTCAATCATGACATATTTCGGATGCTTGAAGGCTCCGTTGACACGATGTGATGATTTAGAAAGATTCTTTTTTATTAATCATGATCGATCATGATATTCATAGCCTTGTTTCTTTTTTATCAAATTTGATTTTGTTTGCTTCTCCCTATCGTCGAGCCTGATCAACTCGACTCTTTTCCCTGTCCTCTGGCATCTTGCTTTATTTTGTTCTTTCTTTGTACCGTTGCTTGAATGAAGATCATGAATCATCTAGATTCATGAGTTTCAAAGAAAGAAAAAACATCAAGTAGTTAGTCATATATATATATATATATATAAAGTGGATGATGAGTTCTCTATAGCAAGGAGAATGGATTTGGCGTTAGACGACTATAAATCTCCAAGAATAAAGCATTGAATGATACTATTAATTATAGTATTATTTGTTTTCTCTTGTTTTTTTTTTCATTGTTTAATTAGCTCATTTTTTATATATGTAATAAAAAAATTCAATCATGAATTTTATTTTATTTTTCAATTTCCTTTAATTTGTATCATGTTATAATTCCATTATATTTTTTGGAT